TCATTTATAATTTAAATTATTCATTTAACAGATGTGGTCCATACCTGTAACATGCTTGGACTGGTCACTATCATGTCCATTGTAACTTGTTATGTTTCAGAACAGAACTGTCTCAAACAGGGTTTGATGGCTGTAGCTTTTCATAAGGAACTTCTCTTTTTTGAGGTACTGTAGAGTGAACTGAAAACACTAATCTCAGTATGTGTAAGCTTAGCCATTTATATTACCCAGAGAATTATGCTTCTTCTTGTTGTTGTTATTACTATTGGCCATGAAATCCCTTGTGACTCATAGTGACCTTATGTGCAATGCCCTTGAAACCTGCTCTTTCCTGTGCCAACCTTATTGTCTCTGAAACCCCTACCCTCGTTACCCTAGTCACTGAGTAAATCCATCTCATCAAGAGTCTTCCTTTTCTTGCACTATCCCTCCATCCTTCCAAGTATGATGTCCCTCTCCGAAGACTCATCCCTCCTTGCAACATGCCCAAAGTATGACAGATGAAGCCTCGTTTCACACTCTCTAGGAAAAACCTGTTTATTTTCCTGGCAGTCCATGGTATATTCAACACTCTTCTCCAACACCATAGCTTGAAGGGATCAATATTCTTTCTATCCTCCCTAGTCAATGTCCAGCAAATTAATAATCAAATAGAAATTCAGGCTATGCTCTAAAGTTGCAAGACCAGGAAGAGAGGTATAAATTGTGTGTGTGGAATGTCCTGGAAGCATAGAATAGTGATGAGCTACTCTAGGCCTGACTGGAAATCAGTGAAGAAAAACTGAGCTTCTACACTCCTACTCATTACTGTGAGGTTCGAATGGGATCATAACTGGCCCTCAGCTGGTTTTCAGAGGCTGTAAATAACAAGAGAAGAGACTGACCATCTTTTTCCCTCAGAGGAAATAGTGGATTCACACCACTGAGAGGTACCACTTCTGGGTTAGAAGTGAAAACCCTGACTGGACTACACCACCAGAGCTTCCCAACTCCTACATAAGATTCCCTAAAGTAGATGTTATTTTGCACTTTAACACTCAATTGAGAAACCTCACTTTATTTCCCATTACGTGGGCATTCAAACGCTTATCTAAAGAGTTCATCTCTGTATCCCTGCGTCATCTTCTCCTTTTATTGGAATCTGTCCTTTCTAAAGGCAGCATCTTCGCCTTTGTGATGTTACTTCCATAGACCAACTTTCAGGTGAGTTTCACCTGATGCATGAGTCTCCAATTATATCTATTTACTTAGAGATCTTTCTTTTCTCTGTTTGTGTCTGTTAAGGAAATTCTCAGGCAGAGGTCCAACTGTGGCAGAGCTCTAGTAAGCTCTCCATAGGGGAAAGATGTGGCCAGCTGATTTAATAATGATCGGAGCCTTGAAAATCCCATAAGGCAGTTCTGTCCAGGCCTACGAGATCCCTGCAAGCTGGAATCAACTACATGGCAATAGATTAGTACACTCTGTGGCACCAAATACGCCTGAAGGTGCAGCATGTGTGTAGAAAAGCACAGGACAAATGAAGAGAGTGAGTCAGACCTTGTTAATAAATACTCACTGCTAGACTCCCTTTTACAGAAGAGAAGAGAGGAACAAAGGGGCCTCCTGTAGGGCCCCCTTTCTTCTGGGGTTCTTCAGAGCACTGGGGCTCTTTTAGTGGTCTTTAGTGACAAGGCCATTTTTGTTTGCTTCATCCAGGCAGATCTTGATCTGAGTTCTTAGATGTATTTCAGGGATGGTGTGAAGAGGAGAAAAGAGCTCCTCCAGCTTCCTAGCAGATCTTGGGTGATGCTAACAATTAGCCACTCCAAAGTTCTTGGTTTGTTTGTAATTTTGCTGTGCTTGGTTTTTAAAGTGGCCTGATAATAGTTTTTCACTTTTATCTTAATATTCAACCCCATTTTTTCTCATGTGATCATCTGATTCAAAATGTCCCATGCCAAACCATCTCACTTCACCAGTGCCAGATGTGCAGGCTGGGTTTAGAAGAGGTTGTGGTACTAGGGATATTATAGCTAATGTTAGATGGATCTTAGTGAAAAGCAGAGAATACCAGAAGAATGTCTGTGCTTCATTGACTATGCAAAGGCTTTTGACTATGTGAATCACAACAAGCTGTGGCTGACTCTGAGAAGACTGGAAATCCCACAACATTTGATTGTGCTTATGTGAAACCTATACTTGGACCAAGAGGCAGTTGTCAGAACAGAGCAGGGACACATGGTTCAAAATTGGGAAGAGGGTCAGGGATGTATTCTGTCTCCATACCTTTTTAATCTATATGCAGAACAGATCATCTGGGATGCTGGGCTGTATGAGGAGGTATCAGGATTGGTGGAAGATTCATCAACAACTTGTGTTATGCAGATGACACAACCCTGCTCCCTGAAACTGAGGAGGGCCTGAAGCACTTGCTGCAGAAGTGTATTGAAGCTCAATATCAAGAAAACAAAGATTCTTACCACTGGGCTAATTGGCAGCATCAGTATGGTTGGTGAAGAGATTGAGATAGTTAACAGTTTTCGTTTGCCTGACTCCACAGTCAACACTCTTGGTACCAGCAGACAGGAAATCAAGAGATGAACTGCAGTTGGGAAAGTCAGCTGTGAGAGACCTCTCCAAAGTACTAAAGAGCAGCAACATTAGGCTGGAGAATAAGGTACGCCTGATCCGAGCTATAGTCTTTGCAGTTACGTGCTATGCGTCGGAGAGTTGAACAGTGAATAGGGATGATAGAATTGATGCATTTATAGCTCTTGTACATAGGGTCACTATGAGTCACAAATGACTCGATGGCACATAATAACAACAACAACAAGGGTGATAGAGAATTGATGCCTTCAAGCTCTGGTCCTGGAGAAGAGTGTTGAATGTACCATGGACTGCTAGGAGAAGAACAAAGAGGTTTGTCCTGGAGAGGGTGAAGCCAGACTGCTCCTTGGAGGCAAGGATTCTGAAGCTTCATCTGGCATGCTTTGGATGTGTTGCAAGGAGGGACCAGTCCTTGGGGAGGGACGTCATGTTTGGGAGAGTGGAGGGGCGGCACAGGAGAAGAAGACCCTCAATGAGATGGATCGATTCTGTGATTGGGATGGTGAGAGTAGGTGTGTCAGAGACAATGAGGTTGACACAAGATATAACAGGTTTTAGAGCTCTTGAACATTGGGGTCACTATGAGTCACAAGTGACTTGACAACACGTAACAACAACTTCTTAATTTTGCCAATTCATGTTTCATACTCCTAAATTCTGAATCTCCCTCTGAATCAGAATGGACTTGACAGCAGTGAAATCGCTGTTCCTAACCTGAAGGAGCTCTGGTGGCTGCAATCCCAAAGGCACATGGTTTGAACCCACCAGCTGCTCTGAGGGAGAAGGGTGGGCAGTCTCTTATTGTACCGTTTCCTGCCCCTGAAAACCGGCTGGAGGGTCAGCTGTGGTCAGCCCCAACTTTCCAATCCACAACAACAAAGAGCCGTTGCTCTGGCGAGCTAATCCACAAGCAGTCTCCCTGCTAACCCGTAGGCTGTGTTTCTCTCGTGGTTTGGATCCATCTATCACCGCAGCAGGACAGAGATAAACAGTCTCCTCTGTGCAATTGTCAGCCTTAGAAACCTGCTATGAGTCAGTTCCGCCTCAACGACAATGGATTTTTTTAGAGTTATCTGGGAAGTAGCTTTACTTTTTGCTCATTCAGTTTCATCTTCGGACTCTTTGAGTCTGTATTGTTCTTGCCCTACCCTGTCACTTGAAGGTCTTTTTAATCATTCATTCACACACAATGCGTTGACTCACGCATTCATCCATCGATCCATGCACTCACCTTCCATGTATTCATCCAACGATTCATCCACGCGTCTTCCATGTATTTATTCCTCCATCGATCCCTACACCCATCCAGGTTGTGGCTCTGAGAGAGAGGAATTATCTGGCTGTGTGTGTGTCCTTCAAGCAGTGAGTCCATGATAAGGTGAAGTCTGGAAAACAGTCAAGCTCAATTCAGAATCGTTGCCATGAAGTCACCACTGACTCCTAGCTGACCCTCCAGTGAGTGAGGTTTGGGGAAGCTGTGAAGAGCACTAGAGAATATAGCCCATCTTACCCCTCAGAGCTGCTGGTGGATTGGGTTAGCAACACAACTTCCTATGAGCCTCGCCAGCAGAGCACGACATTGTAAAATGACGTTTATGGCTTATTACAAAATACAGAGGGGAAGGTGGAGATGCTAAGGGAGAGAAGAGACTGGAGGCTGGTGGAGAAGCCAGGACCAGAGAAGGAAGTTTGGTGTCATCGCATGGGGGTGGTGCCTAAACCATTGAATTCTGTTGTCCCCTGTAGAAGCAAGAGAAGGTACAGATCTACAGATACAAGTAGAGCTCAAGAGAGCAAGGTGAACAGGCCTTGATGGGGTAGAAGGGAAAGGAGAACAGCATGGTTATGAGAGCCTGATGGAACAGTTTCAAGAAGCAGAAAGTGTAGTGTCCATTGTGTTAATTCTGTGGCAAGGACACTTAAGATAAGGAGTGTGTCCTTTGGTTCTGAAAGCAAAAAAGGAGATGTGGGGAATTTTGAATCACCTCGGTGATTGGGTGAGGACAAAACTCAACCCAGATCCTGGGCAGATCATCAGCAGAGAAAGGACAAGGGGTCACTGTCTGCCGATGCTTAGAATATCCCCACTGCATATATGAAGACAGAGGTTTGGGGCAGCGTTTCCATCTAGTCAACACAGCCTAAATAAAACATTCTTTGGTATAAAAATAATTGAAAAAAATTATTTCATACTCATTTTACAATTTGTACTCTTTTAGAAAGTGTCCCTTCTGCAGCGTCCTGTGCAGAAATCCTTAGCAATTCCATCCCCAATCGTAGCCTGCCACAGGCGCTCAATTAATTTTTCAAATGGATGAGTTAATAAATTAATAAATAGTAAGGCCTGTTATTTGGTGTTTTATAAGCAAATGACTTAAAAATTGCTTGCTTGCCTTTTTGTGCTTCAGAATAACAGACTAAGGAAATACGCCTTTGAGTTGAAAATGAATGACTTGACCTATTTCGTGCTGGCGGCAGAAACGGAATCGGATATGGATGAATGGATTCACACCCTCAACCGCATCCTGCAAATCAGTCCTGAGGGGACACTGCAGGGAAGGAGAAGCACAGAGCTCACGGATCTGGGGCTGGGTGAGAGCGTGGTACCCACTTGCCCTCCTCTGCCATGCGTTCGTTGTCTCCACCTTTTGGTTCACTTAAGCTGCTGGTCCTTTTCAGGTTCTGCTCATTCATCTGCAAACTCTAAATCACCCCTCACTTTTCACTCCTGCTGAATAGTGAGGGTTGCAGCACATCGGCATATATTCCGATTTGACTGGCAATGATTTCGAGTCGCAGGGTAGTACAGATAGCTGATGGGCCCCATTAAGTAGCAAAAGGTTGATGGTTCAAGTTCAGACAGAGACATCTCAGAGATCATTTTTTTGAGAAAATCAGCCCTTGAACTTCCTGTGGAGCACAGTTCCACTCTAAGCCACGTGGGGTCGCTGTGAGTTGGAAGTGACCCAACAGCAGCAACTGGTGGTAATGAACTGAGACTGTCAAACAAAAAACTAGAAATGACCCCTGATAGAATAGCCTTGAGATGGTCAAACAATAAATGATGTTGGGCATCACGTGTTAATAGAATCAGAAATGTCCCTCTGGCAAATGGGAGAGTACCTTACAGTGGTATGTTGGTTTTAAGATATTTTTAAAATTTAATTAGTGAAACTTATATTCTGTGAAGTCAAATATGGATCAATTATGTTAAGAGTCACCTTTCATATTTTGTGTTGACCAAGGTAGTATCACTTTGTATTGAAAATTTGCAAAAATTTTGTGTTATTAGCCATCTTGACTAGATGAACATTTTCCCATCTGCTGAATATAATTCCCTCATGATATTCTAACTCAGGTGAAGTAAAAGATGAGAGTCAGAGGAAGGGAGGGAGAGACAGAGAGAGAGAGGAAGAGAGGGAGGGAGAGACAGAGGGAGAGAGGAAGGGAGGGAGGAGGGGAAAATACACCCCAACTAGATAAGAGCTGTGTGGAGAGTTTCACTACCAGCAGTCATTCATCCCCTTCGCAAAATAAAACCTATAAAGCGTTATCCATATTCCATGGTACCTTGGAAACCAAAGTGGCCTTACGTTATCACCATCTAAGAATCAAATGCTTTAAAGAGTCATTAGGTAATAAGGAAGAAGCTGTGATGGAGACTCTCTGACTGATTAAACCCACCTGTGGCTCAGAGAGGGAAAGATGAACAGTCTCCTCCCATGCGCTTTACAACCTTGTAAACCCCATGGAAGGTCAACTATGAGTTGGTTCCAAAGCAATGGCAATGAGGCTTTTTTAGTATTTGCCAAGGGTAGAGGTTCTGGTGGGTGATGTTTAAGATGTTGGCTGCTAACCGAAAGGGCAGTAGTTCAAATCTACCAGGTATTCTCTGGGAGAAATACATGAGAATCTGCTTCTGTATAGATTTACATCCCTGGAAGGCCTATGGGGAATTAGGGCTGCTGTGAGTCAAAGCTGACTCAAAGACAATGTGTATATGTTGTTGTTGTTGTTGATTGCCGTTGAGTTGAGCATGACTTATAGTGACCCTATGAACAAAAGGCCCGAAGGCTTTCTATAACTATTGTCACGTAGTAGGTATTTTACATTCATGATTTTTAAAATAGTAATGATTGAGTATTAATATGTGCAGCCTGACAGGGAAAGGTTAAAAGTCTCATGCTAAAATGTGAGTTTTAACTGAGAAAAGTTTATGCGCGTTAGCAGAGGAGGTAAACACAGTCAGTATAGATGTAGTGTAAGAATATGGAGCTTATGCACATAGGATCACACCATGAGAAGAACAAAATAAAAACGAACATCAGGAGGTCTGATTTCCCGTCCTGATCTAAGAATATGGAATTCTGGAGTCAGGACAAAATGAAAACATCTAGCAATCTAATGATTGTTCCCTGGAATTATAAAGTCTAAGACAGTTTTTCTAGAAACCTGGGGAGGGGAGGGAATTTATGTGCATTGAGAGTATTCTGCAATAACGTGTCCTGGTGTGTTTTCAAGATCCCCTGGAGAAGTCCCCAAGCTGTGAGTGCATGCCGGAGGAAACCGAGACCTTGGAGAACAGCCTGCACCCAGACTTTGCAAAAGTAATCAAGTTGACATTTTACTGTACATAGGAACTTTTAATTACTTTTTTTTTTAGCTCTTACTTTTATACGAAATAGAAGGCACTTTTTAAGATTTAAACTGAGAAACTACTGTAGCACTTTCTCTTAATCTGCACTTTACTTCTACGCACACAACACCGAAACGTGAAGGCTGCTTTCCTAAGTTTGGCCAGGTCTTAATAGACAACACAGTGGCAATGCTCAGGGGCGCCACCTCTTGGCCGGAAGTCCTGGTGTCAAGGGCAATGCAGTATTTTTCTGCTCACCTAAAGACTGGCAGGTGGAACCATCCTGGTGTTCTGGAAGGGAAGTGGCAATCTGCTGTTTCCAAGAAGGTGACAGCTAACAAAGCCCAGTGATCTGCTTGGTTTCTTGGGATTACTATGAATTGAAGTGGATTTACAGTTGTTCAGCAACCACTTCTTGATCACTGAGCAGGGAGGTGGGGGGGTAGGGAGTCTATAGTTATGCAGATGTGTAGCTACCAGAGACTAACTAATACCTCTTCCTCTGTAGTACCTCACAGAAACAGAAGAAACTGTCAGAATTACTAGGAACCAGGAGAGACTAAATCTCTTCTCATTGGACCCAGACATAGATGTAAGTTGGAACTGAAAAAAAACAAAAACAAAAGATAAACCTGATCATGAAAACTGTGGTTCATATTTATAGTTTCTTTTCCTTTTTTTCCCAAGATACAAATGTTCATTATTCCAGCCTTTTTCAGTTAATTAATCTTATTTTTCATTGACTGTTTTAAAAATTTTATTTCGCTTACTCACAAGTGGTTATTATTTGGTAACTGAAATGTTCAAAATTTTCCTAGACTTTGAAGCTTCAGAAAAAGGATATCTTAAAACCTGATTCTGCAATCAAACCATTTGAAGAAAAGGCTGCCAAGAGAATCATGATCATTTGTAAAGCTCTCAATTTAAATCTTCAGGGATGTGTTACGGAGAATGAAAATGATCCAGTAACAAATGTGAGTATCTCTTCATTTGCATCTCATGCCGGAAGTCCACACCATCCTGCACTCTTGTTTAAAGCTGTCTGATTCTTGCCATGAGAAACCGTATCACCTAAGGATTTCCCTCAAGTAAGAGACTAGCAGTAGTAGTATTGCCTGTATCTTCTCTGTTATTACAAAAGTACACATGTTCTGAAGTGCAATAGTCGATAATACTGCCATAAAAGTCCTCTTTCAGCATAAGAAAATGTAATCAAAGGAACCGTGCTTTGTGATTGACCCCATGACCTCAACCCAGTGGTTTAGGGGCCCCCAGGCATTATTTGTGTCACACTGATGGTTGACAGAAAGCGCTCTTTCGAAGTTTTTAACATCTACTTTTGGCACTTTTGGGTCCTTAGTTCATTCCTTAAGTATTAGTTCATTCTTTGAGCCTTCTACTCTGAATCAGGGTAATTATATAAGCCTAGAAACTTCCAGTTTAATTAGAGTAAGCAAACAAGATAGTACTGCACTGGTATAAGATTACCTGGTTTCACCACTTAAAGAGTTGTGTCACTTTCGGCAAGCGGCTTATCCCTGGTCTCCTCTTCTCTAAAAGGGATAAAGACACTGTTTATCATAGTCGTTAAGAAGATGAATGAGATGATTAATATGGAAAATACTTAGAGAGTGGTTGTGATATACTGAGTATCAATTATTAGCTGTTTTCTTCTTTAATGTTTGAGAAATTGCTTTTGAATTTGTAAATATCACGAGTAAAGCAAAATAGTGTTGCTGTTTCCCATCTTACGTACATACAGCGTTCATGTTGAAGAATTACATAACTAGTAAAGAAGCATCCTCTGAAGTTCAGCCTCTTCCTGTCATTAACAGTGGCTTGAGTAGTCGGCTTGAGCATGGCAGACATGGAGGGGATGATACAGGACAGAACAAGCTTTTGAGTTATTGTTGATAGATTCACAAGGCATTATGTAGTGGACTCAAGACCCCCAATAACAGCAACATGCAGTCTATGACTGTGCACTACTATGTTTGTTAGTAATAATGACAATAGTTGAAGGTCTGTTTATTCATTCTCCAATTATTGATTAAATGAGCCTAGATGGGCCAACTCCTCCCATGCAACTCACTGCCTCTGAAAACTCACTCCAGCATCAGCTGAGTCAGTTCTGACTTGATAATATGTAACAAGAATACTATGATCTAGACTTTGTGTTACTAGAGAAACAGCTGGAGTAAGAGTTAAAATGTTCCAGGCTTCCTAAAATATTAGATTCAATTTTCAGAAAGGCAAGAATCCACTATGAACATATTAAGTTAAACAGCTCTATGAAATGCCAAGGGCGAGAGGCCGGAAGTACAGACTTCCATATAGGTTTGGAACTCAAGGAAGTAGTTATGTGTGAAGTTATCAATTTGTTAGTCTGATCTCATAAGTAGTCAGGAGAGAATTATTTAGAGATTTCTGTAGTAGCCTAGTGGCAAGAAGTTTTGCTGCAATCCCAAAGGCACGCAGTTTGAGGCCACTAGTTGCTCTGTGGGAGAAGGATAGGCAATCTCCTCCCATGTGATTAACTGCCTCTGAAAACCCACTGGAGGGTCAGCTCTGCGTCGGTTCCGACTCAACAGTAAACAACAACATGGTGACTTACAATCAACACTCTTGGCACCAACAGTCGGGAAATCAAAAGATGAATTTCACTGGGAAAATCTGCTGTCAGGGACCTCTCCAGAGTATTGAAGAGCAATGGGATACAGGTCATGCATGGTCTTCACAATTCCTTGCTGTGCATCATAGAGCTGGACAATGACAAAGGATGAAAGAAGACTTGATGCCTTTGAGTTGTGGTGCTGGAGAAGACTCTTGAACATTCCATGGACCACCAAGAGAACAAACAGGTCTGTCTTGGAAATGGTTAAACCAAGTTTCTCTTGGAGGCTAGGATTTTGAAGCTCTGTCACACATACTTTGGGCATGTGGCCAGGAAGGACCGATCCTTGGAGAAGGATATCATGCTTAGAAGTTTGGAGGGGACAGTACAGAAAAGGAAGACCATGAATGTGATTGATTGATACAGTAACTGGGGTAATGTAGGTAGGTGTGTTGGAGTCAGTGAGACTGGCTCAGGACAGGGCAGGCTTCAGAGCTACAGTACATGGGGTTGCTACCAGTCATAGGGTGACTTGAGGGCACATAACAACAACAACATAGTGACTTACAGGAGCTCTAGTGGTCTATGGCACTCTGATAGCATGGTGGTAAGCAGTTGCATTGCAATCCTAAAAGCACATGGTTCAATTCCACTAGCTGCACCAGAAGGGCAGGAAATCTCCTGTGTTATCATTGGAGGGCCAGCTATGAGTCATAATCAACTATGAGTCAATTCTGACTCAATGACACACAACAACAACAACGTGGTGACTTAGTGGTAAGGAGTTGCACTGCCAACCTAAAAACCCACAGTTTGAATCCATAGCTACTCCATGGGAGAAAGACAGTCTCTTCCCACATGATTTACAGCCTCTGAAAACCTGCTGGAGAGTCATCTAGGAGTTAGTTCCAGCTAACTCCTAGATTCCAGATAAGTGGAAAAGGAGCCAAACTTTAAAAGAATAGAATGGAAGTAACTGAGGAAGACTAAGCATGAATGGCCAATGAGGTACAGATGTTCCAGACAAGAGTTAAGTCAGGAAAGTCAGGAGAGAGAGGGCCAGTTGTGTGGACTGCTCAGAATTTGAGTAGCATGAAGCCTGAGAGGGTCAGGCGATAGGGCAATGTGAGGATGCTGGTGATATTAGCAGACACAATGTCCATGGTGTGGAAAGGAATAATCAGAACTCACTTTTACGCAGGCTGGATAAGCAGGGCCAGGGAAGAAAGCAACATTAAAAACTTGGTTCTTAAACGGATTTAGTAATATTGATAAAACTTTGCCTAAGTCATAATGCCACTTAGTGAAATCATCAAGTAAAAATAGACCCTGCACATTCTTGAGTGTAATTAAGAAAAAAAATTAATTAAAAAAATGAAACTAAAAGATAATGTAGTTTTCATTCAGTGCCAAAAGCAAACTCCTTCCGCCTGGATTGCTTTGTTTGTACTGAGGCTTAAAATTAGAAGCGAAATGTTTGTATTTGTGCCAATTTCTTGAGGCAAAAGGACTTTTACAGGGTTCATAGGGCAGCTTCTATCTGATTGTTCAGACTAAGTCGATTGATGCTATGTTATACATTTGCATGTTTTATTAATTTCTACATGTACAGAAAATAAACAGAAAAATTTAATATGTTAAATTAACATAATATATAATTATGTATGTCAGGATATAGACACACACATGCACATATAACGGAGCTGGTTGTTATTATGTGCCGTCGAATCGCAACTCATAGTAACCCTTTATACAACATCCCTAAACTCCGCTCTGTCCTGGGCCAGTTTTATTGTCTCTGACACACCTACCCCTGTTACAACAGTCACTGAATCAATCCACCTCACTGAGGGTTTTCCTCTCCTCCACTGTCCCTCTACCCTCCCAATCATGATGTCCCTTTCCAAGGACTGGTCCCTCCTTGCAATGTCCAAAGTATGTCAGACGGAGTTTCAGAATCCTTGCCTCCAAGGAGCAGCCTGGTTTCATCCTCTTCAGGATGAACCTGCCCGTTTTCTTAGCAGTCCATGGTATATTCAGTACTCTTCTCCAACACCATAACTCAAAGGGGTAAATTCTTAATTCTCCTTTTATCATCCCTAGTCATTGTCCAGCTTTCTAATGGACAGCAAGTAATTGAAAAGACCATGACCTGACTCAGGCATACCTTAGTTTCCAGACTGACATCATTGCTCTTCAGTACCTTGGAGAGGTCTCTCCGTCAGTAAACTTTCCCAATGTAATTCGTCTTTGTTTTCCTGGCTGCTGGTGCCAAGACAGAGCTTACTTTATAAGAAGTACCTTAAAAGTAATTTCATTTTGCTTAGTCCCTTGTTACCAAATAAACTCAGATTTGTAGTGGTGCTGTTGTTGTTGTTGGTAGGTTGCTGTGGAGTTGAGTATGACTCATAACGACCCTGTGAGCAACAGATCTGAACCCTGTCCTATCCTGTGCCATCCTCACAATCTCTGACACACTTGAGCCCATTGCCGCAGTCACGGTGGACCACCGAAAGAAAACACAGAAACGTCTTGGAGAAAGTGCAGCCAGAGTGCTCCTTGGAGGCAGAGATGGCAAAGCTTCATCTCACATGATTTGGGCATGCTGCTAGGAGAGATTATTCCTTAGAGAGGGACATCAAGCTTGGAAAGGTGGAGGGTCGGTGAGAGTGGTCGGACGGTAGAGTAGAACTACGTCACAAGGTTTCCAGTGCTATGATCTTACATCCTTTATGGAAACACGGTGCCACATCATTCATTCACGGAGCAGAGCACCTGGCGGATTCATGCACGTAACAACTTAGCAGTGAGCATCTAACCACTATGCCACCAAAACAGAAAAGGCGTTTCCACCAAGTCAATCCTGACTCATTGCGACCCCATCAGACAGAATAAAACTACTGTGCAGGATTCCCAAGTCTATAATCTTTACAGGTACAGATTACCACGTTTCTCTTACAGAATGGCTACTGAGTTCAAACTATCAGTTAGTGGCTGACTTTGAACCACTGTACTGCCAGGGCCTTTCACTTTTCTTACCAACTACTTTAAGAAAAAATCAATAACAACAACCAACAAACTAAAAAAATTACTAAAACAACTCCATCTTAACAAGAGTTAGTTATTTAATGGGTTTTAAATACTTGGGTACTTATTTGCTAATGCCTTCTTATTAATACATTTTAGCTCCCTGTTTTAATTCAATATGTATCATTTTAAAATGAACTGTTTTTCAAGACTCCTGATGAGCCAACTGCTGCCTTTATCACATGAGTCTCTAAAAAAGATTCCACAGAATGTTTCCTTGATGAGGACGTAATATTTTGACAGCATGTAATTTTTTAGTCAGTAAATTGAAAATGAAATTCAAGTTGATGGGTTTAGTGTATAAAATATTTCTTTGAAAATAATAAGTGGCTCCAAAAATCTAAACTAAAGAAGACGTTTCATAGGAGAGCTATATTGAATAGTTGATGTTCTTGAATTTTCTTTTAAGTATACAAAATTCTACGCAGAAGAAACTTTCAGCGTTCATTTGTTAGGGTTTAAAGGTATTTCATTAACTAACTTCTTATTAAAAAGCCCACGGGCTTGAAAAGTCAGACTTAACATTTAAGTAGAAGAAATGCGCAGGAAAAAATAAATGAATCACCGCATGAGCTTTAATTTATGGAGCATGATAAAAATAGGTAATTTATTTCCATTCTTTCAGCAGAAATGAAAATCAAAATGCAACAATTCTGGAATAATTGGGATTTCACAATGCCCTTCACTGTGTTTTGAATTCCAGCCTAGGTTTGTGAGTTTTCACAGGTTTTTCTCTCTTGACATATTATCACTACCACAAATCAAGAAGTATAAATAAGAAAGCGTTTGTTTTCTTAAAATTAGAGCAATAAGCTTGTGAAGATGACTCGGGACAAGGCAGCATTTTGTTTTGTTTTGTTTTGCTTGGGTGTGAGTAAGAGTGGACTCCTTGTTAACAAACAGTAGTGTCTTAAAAGTTTTAAGAACAATGACAGATACATCGCCAGTGGGACCCATCTGTCAAGCAATGGTTGAAGAAATGGTTGGATTAATGACGTCTGTCTCGAAGTGCAATCTAGAAAGTTCTCAGACCAAATACTTGGAGCCTGGAAACACAGTAGGGACTGCTGATGAAGTTCAAAGGAAGTGATACTTCTAACCCCAAAGCTCCTCCTCTCTGTATGTTTGAACCCACAGCGCCTCCAAGAGAGAAGGGTGGGCAATCTCCCCTGTGATTTGCCGCCTAGGAAATCCAGTGAAGGCTCTGCTAGAATTCGGCTCCTGCTCCATGGCAGGGAGGTTTGAGGTTTGAGAGGGAACACTGTGGTGGAAGATCCTGGCTTGGTTTTCTTTTGAGATTGGAAGAGAAATCTGAGTGTTTGTCTTGCAGTGCATGAGTGGCTGTTTCTTGGGACAGTTAGAATGGAGGAACCAATGAACAGTGTTGAGATGTGAGAACCTGCTGGAGGCAGAGACCTCTGGGTGCACCTCCGGGAGTCCAGGGGAACTTGTTCCCGGATGTCCTTGATTGACCTTTGTGTAGAAGAGAACATCCTGGAGAGGTCGCACACCTGAGCATTGCTCTTACATCCTATCTGCCCTTTCTTTCCCTTGCAGATTGAGCCCTTTTTTGTGAGTATGGCGCTTTATGACCTCAGAGACTGCAGGAAGATTTCCGCAGATTTCCACGTGGATCTCAACCACCCTGCTGTCAGGCAGATGGTCTGTGGGGTGTCGGTGCCTTTGGAAAACGGCAACATTGACTCGGTCACTCCGAGACAATCTGAAGAGCCGCACGTCAAGGGGTTTCCCGAGGAATGGCTGAAATTCCCGAAGCAGGTTGTGCCTTTGTTTTATCTTGGGATGGTGCCTGGTCCACTGTCCTTACCCACCTCTTTCACTTTAGCTGCACAGCTAGCCAGAGGAATGCTCCCTTGACACTGTCCTCCAGGGGAAAATGCAGGCTTGCAAGTACCTTCAGCTCCTCATTTGCTCCTTTCTCTGTACGTAGGCGATATTTTCCGTGAGCAATCCACACTGTGAAGTCGTCCTGGTGGCCAAAATTGAAAAGGTACTAATGGGAAACATCGCAAGTGGAGCTGAACCTTATATTAAGAATCCAGACTCCAACAAGGTAATCCAAATCTCCCTTACACATCATTTCAGTGCTTTCAAGAGGTAAAGGCTCACTGTCTTGAAATGGTTGTTTGACAAATACAAGACTTGATACAGTCAATTATTCAGGAAATTAATACCTCTGAAAGGCATATTTTTTGTTAATACTTGGGCTAGATTTTTCTGCAGAGACAAAATTAAAATAAACACACAAATTTTAGTTTGGGAAACCATGTAGACCGTTGACCCTTGAGTCTGAACCAACTTATATGCAGTGGATTCCTTTTGTTTTTAAGAACTCATAGCACAGTCTGGGTTTTGTTTGGTCAGGTTTTTGTTTATTTTTTTTAATTATATTAGTTCATTTACAAAATTCAAATACATTGTTTTCCACAACAGATTCTTCCAATTTCCCTCTCCTCCCCACCCATCAAATTGTACAACCCCATGATGAATCTCCTCTTCGCCCGCACATCCTCATCCCTCTGCTTCCACCCTCCCACCCCCTTGGATCCTTATACTCATTCTATAATAATAGTTCTATACAATATTTGTCCTTGTCAGACTGAGATAGATCACTAAGCATAATGCTCTCCAGTCCCTCCCAAGTTAGGTAATAATTTACAATCTGGGTTTTTGATTGTTAGTTTAGAGTGTAGGGGAAGTGCCTCTAAATCAAGTGCATGTGTGTATGTGATTGTTATGTGCCACTGAGTCAGAACCAGCCCCTAGATGATTCTCCAGTGGGTTTTCAGAGGCTGTAAATTACACAGGAGGAGGTTGCCCAACTTTCCCTGGAGAACTGGTGGGTTCCAACTGATATCTTTGTTTTGACAGTGCAACTGCTTACCCACTAGGCACTAGAGCTCATGCATATAATTATATGTGCTATATTTAGCTGAAGGAAATGACTCCTATGCTTTCAGGGACTGTCAGGTGTCGTCATGTCTGTGGCCCCTGGCTGCAGTGACTAACAACCTAAACCATCACACCCAGCAGTTCGTTAACTATGGAAATAAATTTAAATGTGTGGCCTAGTGGCAAGAAGCTGCACTGCAATCCCAAAGCCATGCAGTTCAAGGCCAGAACTTGCTTCAGAAAGATGAAGGTAGAAAGATGAGCAATCTCCTCCCATGTGATTAACTGCCTCTGAAAACCCACCAGAGGGTCGGCTATGGGTTGGCTCTGATTCAACGGTGCACAACAGCAGCAAATAAAGTTTCAAGTAAAGAATCAAAGAATTATAATAATGAAAAACTAGGTGTAATCTAAGTATCTCAGAACAGGTAAATGCAATTTACTGGTGCATATCGGCAATGCCTGTGATAACCCAAATGAAAAATAAGATAGTCAAATATAAAAAAATAATAATAATAACATAAGTAAAGAAATATCTAAGAAAATACCATGAGTTGTTGCTTTGGATAATTTTTCTACTCTTTTTCTTTTCTACATTTTCTTTAATAGTTAAGTGTTACTATATAATAGGAAGTGACTATGAAAAATCTTTAGAGTCTGTAATAAAGATTGACTTTACCAATTGACTTTTAGCATGTGCTTCAATTTAAAGCAGTGTTTAATATATCTGTGAGAGTCCCTTAATTCACAGCTCAGCAAAAGAACAAATGTACTAAATCTGACTTGCTTCCTGTTTTTATAAAGTTTTATTGGCACATTTATTCATCTGTGTATTTCCTCTGAGTGCTATCCTTCCATAATAACAAAGCTGAGTTGCTTCAGACACCATGTGGTCTATAACACCCCAGTACAGTTACTTCGTGACCTTCAACATAATGAGTTTCCTGACCCCTGCCCTACCTAATAAAATAAAGCATAAGCCAGACTATAAATGTAAATATATATCACTTTTCATTGGATATTTTAAGTTCTTTTAAGTTAAAGAGAGACTAAAGAGCTGATGTCCCAAGATAAATGTGGTTTACATTGGGAATTTTCAAACTAAAATGTAAGAAAAATGTCATACATTGTTTTGAAATAAAGGATATAATTTGACTCTTTGTAAGGTAGGGTTTGGGTCAGAGAGTGTTTTCCTGAGTTTCAGCCCATGTTCATTTGGATAAAAAAGGATTCAGAATTATTTTACTCATAGAGTTTGTAAGGTGATATTACAACTAATGTTGTTTTTTTCCTTGCTTTTTTTCCTAGTATGCACAAAAGATACTAAAATCCAACAGGCAGTTTTGCAGCCGATTGGGGAAATATCACATGCCGTTTGCGTGGGCTGTGAGGTAGGCTACTATTTTGGCAATTGCAGTAGAAAACATGTGTAGTCTATGTGGTGCATTTCAATTTGAAAACCTTTGTATTAATGATTCTTCTTTATGTACTCAGGCCTTGAGAATGCTGGTGTGTTCATAATCATAAACACTTTGAACTTCCAGAAACTTCTATTTTACAAAATTTGCAAGTCAACTTACAGTGGAACAGGCGGTGATTTGCACGCCCTGCATACATGTGCAGCTGTGTCCTTGATCTTCCAGAAGAACATGTTTCTCACAGATGTAACCATTCACCACTCACATAGAGCAGTATTGAACATTTTCCATCTCTAAAGTTTGAACATTGTTCCATGTTTTTAAAAGCAAGCATTGTAGAACCAGACACAACTGGGTTCAGAGTTCAAATCTGTCCCTTACCAGCCAGGTGAACTTGGGCAAGTTATATAATCTGTTGAATTAATTTTATTTTACTCTACAAAAGAGGAACAATAATATTTAATTTACAAATGAGGATGGCAAGACTTTGTGCCGTGGACTCTGTATATGTTTGTTACCAGGTGCAGCCTCCCCTGGAGAAGTCACTCACTCTTGGTAAAGTGTAACAGTAACACTTTGACATCAGGTTGTTGGCTGCTGTCAGCTGATCCTCTCACAGCTGATCCTCGGAGGGTTTCCAAGCTGTAAATCAAGTGGGATGAGATTGCCCCTCTTCCTCTCAAGGAGCCTCTGTTGGACTCGAACAGTCAGAGAGGTGTACTCTTTGGGTAACAATAAACCTCTCTAAAGACTGCCCCACCACAGCTCCCGTGCTACAGTAGAATTTCAGAAAAGTAATTAAAAGCTCAAAACATTTATGAACTGAAGTGACACCATGGATGTGACAATAAATTAAAACAAAGCAACGACTGTGCGAATGCTGCACGAACAGTCCGTGTTTAGTTTTTGTTTTGGATGTTTTGGGGTTTTTTTAGGATTTCCAGCCATTCATTGTTGCACTTATCTCCCTGCCCATTGCTCTCCCCCAATTCACTCTTCTTGAAAAGAAAAAGAAAAACTCTTTCATTGTTATGCAATCCCTTGTCCCAAGTCCACTCCACTATGCAGCCTTCACTCTGGACTTCTGTAATGACAAGAATACCCATTCATGTATCTTTTTTAAACAGTTCTCTCCCTCATCTGTTTCAGTGAAATACACATCATTCCTCCCCTCCTTTTCTGTCTTCCCTCAACCCTGGTGTCAGTCCCGTTTTACAACAATGGCCCTTTGCAATATTTGTCCTTTTGTGACTGGTAAGTTGCTTTGAGTTGGAAGCAACTCAGTGACACATAAAAACATTTACTCTCATTGGGATTAATAAAAACAGATAAATGTAACAAATAAAATGTTGTTGTTGTTGTTGTTGTTGTTGTTGTTGTTGTTGTTATTAAGTTCCATGGAGTCAAGTATGACACATAGTGACCCTGTGAGTGATGGACCTGACCCCTGTCTTATCCCCCACCATTACTACATGTCACTGTATGCATCCCACCCACCTCCTTTCACAGGCCATAAAGAGGACTGTGCAGCCAGAGGGCACCTTCTTAAACAAGGCTGGTGACTGTCTCAGATACTTGCATGTTACCAGGAGGGTCCAGTCCTTGGAAAAGGACATCATCTTGGCCGAGTAGGAATGATGTGAGAAGAAGCCAGTCAAGGACAGGGATTGACGCATTATCATACCAGTGGATCTACGCACAGCAGAGACTGTGGGGTTGGTGTGGGATTGGGCAAGGTTTCGGTCTGTTATACTTAGGGTCTCTATGAATCCGAGACAACTTGACATCTCCCAACAACAGCAGCAGCAGCAGAAGATAATGTGTGAGACAGTAGTAAAAGCATCTCTCATTGTTTAAAAGTAACTGTGCATTTGGCAGAAGTAACCATTCAACTTGGAACTTTTCAGATATAATGTTGAAAGAAAGACAGATGAAGACTTTTAGGAGCCTGATAGTATTATTGATCATTGAAGTAAATTGCTCCTAGGACAGGAACACCAACAATGCCACAATTATATGCTGTATTAATACCCAATTAGTACTTCGATTGTAGGCTGGAAAGAGGACAGACCATCAGAGAGAGAGAATATCATGCACGTTTATTTGAACATCTCTGGAAATTGACAAGAACGCTAGCTGTACTGTTTGAAAGATTTCATACTAGACCATTTGGTTTCTCTAATGAAAAGAGTCCAAGAGCCAAGCAAGGACTGTGTTCATGTTTCTTCATGATGCAGACCCAGTTTCAAATAAATGTGGACAGAATCCAAAAAGGCTTGTGCCTTGTGTCCTCTTGGCCAAGCTTGCCTCCTGAAACACTTCAGGCCTCTGTCGTCACTACTGATTACAAGGCTACATTCCCACGTTGCTGTGTTTTCTAGATTGTGCTTTGGTTTGTAACAGAATTGTGAGTCTACCCTAAAAGATTTCTGTTAACCCTGTGGGAGCCACTTCCAACTCGGAGAAGCCCTGTAGACTAGAAAACTGCCCACAGGATTTCTAAGGCTGTGCTGTTTATAGAAGTGTTATCGTCACAGCCTGGATCCCACAGAGTCGTCTAGTGAGTTTGAACCGGTATCATTTTGCTCCATAGTCGAACTCTTTAAAGTATACGCTAACGGGCCTTCCATAAAACCTTGCTGCTGCTGTTGTTGTTGTTAGGTGTTGTCTAGTTGGAACTAACTCATAACTGACCCTCAAGCAGATTTTCAGAGGCAGTAAATTGCATGGCAGAAGATTGTTCATCTTCCTGTCACACATGAAACATTAAAGCCCTAAGGATTTCTTTTTTTGTTTGGGTTTGTTGTTTTTTTTAATTTTTTTATTTAGTTATTTTTTTATACTGAGTTATTTACAAAGTTTGAATACACTGTTTTTCACCAAAGATCCTTCCCATTTCCTTCACCTCATCCACCCATCACATTGTGCAACCCTACAATTAATACCCCTGCCCCCCATCCTCACCCCTCTCTTTCTACCCTCCCTGCCCCTTGGATCCTTACACTCATTCTACAGTAATGGTCTTATACAGTATTTGTCCTTGTGGGACTGAGTTAGTTCACTCAGAATAATGCTCTTCAGTCCTTCCCAAGTTAGATAGTAATTTACAGAATTATTGCTCCTGCATGCTGCATAGTATTCCATCCCGTGAATGTACCATAACATCTCAATCCATTTGATTTTGGTTGACATCAAAGCCCTAAGCTTTGGTAGTATTTTTACCTTGACCTTATTTTCTCACCCACTGTCTCAGCACAGGAGAGCCCATCACTATTAACCTTTGTCTCTGAAATGAACTTGATACGTGTGTTTATTCTGGCACCAGCAATAGTGCTGTTGAGTCAGAATCCACCCGTAATTGACCTTCTGATCTGTTTTCAGAGACAGTTAATCACACAGGAGGAGACTGCCCATCCTTCTTCCACAGAGCAGCTGGTGGATTCAAACTGCATGCCTTTGGGATTGCAGTGAAGCTTCTTACCACTGGTCTAGTGATTAAAAAAAATCTCTTTGACTAAATTATATTCAACTTCATTCATTGTTGTCAAGTGGGAACTGACTGATAACTGATGCTTCAGTGGGTTTCCAGAGGCTGTGTATGTCACCTGGGAGGAGACTGGCCATCTTTCTTCTTTGGAGCATCAGTGGATGCAAACCGTCTACCTTTGGGCTGGTAGTGCAACTCTTATCTATTAGGCCACTCATTGTTAGATGTGTTGAGTCGAGTCATAGACAAGTCATAGCGACCCCCATGAATGAAAGACCTGAACATTTGTATAACTTTCATCGTTTCTTCAAGTTCATAGTGTTTCCGGAAGCAAGCTATTTCAGAAGTGGATGCCACTCCTGCTTCCAAGCTTGTTTTAATTGGGGAGCACCACGAAACACTGTCCACTATGGGTAACCATTATCACATTTGACACATCATTGTCACAGTGTTCAGCATCACAGCAACCACGAGTTACCTCTGTACAGCAAATGGACAGACCAGGGCTATAGAAAAATGTTCGACCAAAAACAATTGAAACCAGGCCCAAGGGCTGCAGATTAAAATCACCCACCTCTGGCTTTTTTTAAATGCTCTTTTTTAAATAAACTCATACCCAATTATGAGTAAACATCCCACCTTAATCCTCACCAGAACCAGAAAACAAACCTCTGTAGAATCCAGCTGCTCCTTTAGGCCGCTAGAGATACCAATTTAATTCTTGCATCTCAGCCTTTGGAGCAGACTGTAGTCTGAGCGACTGTGGTCTGAGGCTGTTATCCAGTCAACAACATTCATTCCCAGTCTCAGTTTGAGTGTTTCTCCTCCAGAAGCCCCTTCTGTCTTTTTATAACCACAGTGATCAGACAGCTATAAAAGTATTTTAAAGTGTTTTACAACTGCTTTTATGTTTTGTCCTCCACAGTCTTGAAGAATATACCTATGTCTTTCTGTCCACAATTCTCTCTTTGACTGAAGCTCTCAGAGAGACATGAGACTCTTTTACTTTAGGTGAAAAAATACTGTTCCCTTTGATCTGTTCCCCAAAGTCCTGATCCTCAGACCCTCACAATACCATGATTATCACTTGGCATTGTGGGTTGGGATTAGGCACGATGCCCCAGACCTTCCAAACCATCTGTGTAAATGAGTCAGTTCTTTGTTCTCCTCGCCAATTGGTGTGTTCATGGAGCACCAGCAGAGGATGTGGCACCGGGTGCAGGACCACCCTGTGGTGGCATGTGCCTCCTTGTCCTTACAATGTGGTTCCATTGTTCTCACAACGTGGTCCCTTTGTACGTGATAAATTCCCAGGCTCGTGTCCGTGGATAAGAGTGAAAACAAGTTACCCAATACACATGCATATCAGACAGTGTCTTTGAATTCACTTGGACATATATGTATCTCAAGCTCAGTTTAAATTTCTTTCCTTTTGAGAAATAGATCATACAGGTTTGGTTTTATTTAATGACCGGAGCCTTGTTTGAATGTGCCTTCTAGAGCAGTGACATTTATATAAAACTATCTTCAAGTTAAATATTTTTATTCTCTCCAGTATGATTTGATAAGGGAGCCCCACTACCACATCATCTCATTACTGGGCGTAGAGAAATGAATAAGGTATTAGGTATCTAAAAATATCCTCTGTTTTAAATTCTTGCCTCATTCTCTGTATTATTGTCCCCTTGGGCTTCCTGATCAGATGGTCATTTAAATGGCCATTTTAACCTATGTATTGAAACATACAGAATAATGATATTTATGCCCCTTTGATATCAAAGGTAAAAATTTAATATTTGCATAGTATTATGCACAGAGAAAGTATATATGAGCCTCATGGTTTGGGAGGGTGGAGGGAGAGAGAAAGAGAGGAAGACCACCAATGAGATGGATTGATTCAGTGACCAGGGCAGTGAGGGTTGATGTCTCAGAGACAGTCAAGTTGGAACAGGATAGAGCAGGTTTCGGGGCTTTTGTACATAGCGTCACTATGAGTCACAAGTGACTCTACGGCACATAACAACAATAACAAGTACAGAATTTTTATAAAATCTGAACAAAAATGGGCACTTGCGTACATGTGTGTGTGTGTGTGTGAAGGATTGGGAAAGATGCAGTGGGGACCTGAAAAGATAAGGTAACGATAGGTATTAATCAATAGTGATTAATTTTATAAAATACAATGTATATAAATAATTATATAAAATATGATATGAATGAAAGAATGTGTTTAGTGCAGCGTACATGAATGAAACACAATGTATACCAATTTTGTATGCAAACAAATACGAAATTTTAAAACAAGATAGTAAAATTAGAAAAATAAGCAACCATGGCTTAATACCATTATATTATTTGAACAAAACTTACTTATTTTCTTCTATATATTTGCAAGGAAGTGGATGGAGCAAAACAAGAAAGCATTTATATTCATGATATTTTCTTAATTTAGAGGAAATCTCTGACTTCATTTTATCTTTGATTCTGTCTGCAAAGGAGATGGGTGTCCTTGATTCCATGAAAATGTTTTAAGAAAGTATCCTTCTCCACAGAGAGCTCTGGTGGCCTAGCAGTCAGGAGCTGTGTTGCCATACCAAAGGCACACAGTTCGAATCCCCCAGCAGCTCTGCAGAAAGATGGGTCGTCTCCTCCCATGCAATCTGCTGCCCGTGAACATCCACCGGAGGTCACCTGTGAGTCAGGCCCAATTCAACAATACACAGCGCCACCATTCTCTGTACACATACACCAACACTCCCTAGTCCACAATATCCTAATGGTATTCCCAGCTGAAAGGGACTCTGTCTTGTCCAGGTTTGGGGTTTCTTGAGGAAATAAAGGGGGAGAGAGGGAAGAATACTTGCTCCTGTATTATTCACTCCACTTATAGTCCAAAGTTTTGTCCTAAATTACTAAATCGGAGACATTTTAAAAAGAAAAGCAAACTTGTAATATGTACAATTGTCAATAAAGCTACCAAACTGAAGATTTAAACTTAACAATAACAAAAATGAATGAGCAAATGAAGCTTTTGTTCTGAGAGCTATGCTTGTCTTTTTGAAATTTCTGGAATTCTTTTGATTTCAAATAGCAAATGTAATCCATTAAGTCTTGCTAAAAAGGCAACTCTATTGACAACCTCTGAGTAATAACATAAATAATATGCTTTTCTTTCAGATCAGTATTTAAGGATAACCAGGGGACTGTGGACAGAGACTCAAGATTTTCACCTTTATATAGACAGGAAAGTAGCAAGATATCAACTGAAGACTTACTTAAACTAGTATCTGATTACAGAAGGTATGGTGGCTTTGGATGTGCTTAACATTAACCGAAATGATCTTTAAAGCTATTTTTAATCTACTGTCTCTGCATATGAAATACGTGATTATCTGTTCAAATGCACAATCTTCTGAGAAAGTCATTGACTTCTCACATGTCAAAATGGTGCCACAGAATAAACTGCTAGAATTATATGGAGGCGTTTCAAAACTTTTAACTCTGTCAGTTGTCTTGCACCACCCCCAAGCTGAGTGATTTAAATTAGAACATAAATGCTCTCAGATCCACAGTGTGAGCCGTTTGGTGAGGACAGTTGCATCTTTGGCACTGGGATTTGACCAAGGTTGCTTGGTCAGCCAAGAGCAAGGGCATCTGCTTTGAAGGTGGCTAACATAATGACTGGAGACGGTCTCTTACTTTCAGCTGGGAGCTCAGCTACACCTGTGAGCCAGAAGCTGTAAGTTTTCTCCATGAGCCCTTTCCATGAGGTATTTAATCCAACGTGGTAGCTGGGTCCTAAAAAGAATTGCCCAAGGGAATGGTATCACTTTCAGTTTCTTAAACCCAGAAAGTAGCATTTCGACCATATTCCTTTGCCGAACCATCACAGAACATAGATTAAAAAGAAAAAGACAATGACTCCTATCCTACCAATTAGGAGGATCGTTATAAGAATTTTAAGATCATGTTTTAAAACGTCACAAAAAAGATTATACTCTTTTGAATTCAATACTTTAATATTGCTGTCATCCATTTACTTTTGAGGAAGATAAATAAATGTTAAGAGAAGAAATACATAAAAGTTACGTATTTTTAAATGGATCATCATACGTCCAACATCTGATGTATCTTTCATGATAAGCTACATATTGTAAACTGTGAATCCCCTAGGCCAGTGCAGTATTCTTGTGCCTTCCCCCCCCTTCCTAAATGTTAGTCATTTCTCACTTTCTTCTGAATTCTAGTTGTTTATGCAAAAGAAAAATATGCAGCATTATAAAAGAAGCATTTTTAATATGTTCTGTGGCTTAAGGAGAGGATATATTTCTATTAACTAGAAAGGAGGTTTTCCAGGATCCCTTTAGTTCTGGAAAAATAGGAATCTTAAATGCAAAATAAAAAGGTAAGAACCAAAAACTTGGATGAGCTGAGCCAGTGTGACTTCTCTGAGATTCTACAAGACCAGTTATTGCAAGACGGGACATTCCCTTTACTTCATCTAAGTGATTTCCAAATTAAACTAGCTGGAATGAGTCACATGATTATTGGTGCTCTGCTGTTTACTTTAATTAATAATCATTCTTTTTTTCCCTTGAATACTGGAATAATAATCAATCTCTTTCTCTCTCTCTCTCTATCTCTATCTCTCTCTGTGTGTGTGTGTGTGTGTGTGTGTGTGTGTGTGTTGCTGGCCTGTTTTTACAGGATCGACAGAACAAGCAAAACGCAAACCATTCCTGGAAACCTGGATATTACTGTTGACAACATTCCTTTGGAGCATCCAAGTATGATAAAAATGATGACATGGTTTAGTTGTAGAGTTTTGAGCGTTTTGTACTTTTATTATTGCTATTATTACTGGTTAGTTGGAAGGATTTCCCACCTCACCCCTACACCCCTAGATATTTTGACGAATAGAATCCATTAGTTTATAGACATTCGGGGCTCTTAATTTTCCACTAAGGAACATTCTTAAAGATTACAGGACAAAAACTGTATTAATGATAACCTTGAGAGCTTTGGTGGCCTGGTGGTAAAAAGCTGAACTGCAGTCCCAAAGACACACAGTTCAAATCCGTACAGTTCTTTCTCCATGGGAGAAAGATGAGCAGTCCTCTCCTGTACTATTAACTGCTGAAAACCCACCAGACGGTCAGCTATGGGTGAGTTCTGACTCTGTGATACAAGAACAGCCAAAGTGATAAATAGCTCTAGCTTGAGGAGCCTATTGATAAGAAACTGAACTGTAATCCCAAAGGCATGTGGTTCAAATCCACTACATGCTCTGAGGAAGGAGGATGGGCAATCTCCTCCCATGGGGTTTGCTGCCTCTGTAAACTCACTGGAGAGTCAGCTGTGGGTTGCTTCCAACTCGATGGCACACAGCAACTTGGAAGACGTGTAACCAAGTGCCCCTTAGAAACTGGAATGCTTGGACATCATCTCTCAAACTTCCAACCTGGGCCAGTACATGGAAGAACACATCAAGCTTGGAATTGTACAGGGTCAGCAAAAAAAGAAGAAGACCCTCAATGAGATGAATGAATGCAGCTAGTGCGACAATAAGTGTAAGCAGAGCAGTGATTATAAAGACGGGTCAAGGTTTCTCCACTGAGGGTTGCTGTGACTTGGAGCCAAACGGCAGCAAGCACCTAACAACGAGCATCTGCCTCTGAAATGAACCATCCTGTGTCAAGGTGTTCAGTGACGCCATTTAATCTTTGACATTCCCAAATCCAAACAAATCCAGCCATTGCATTGACTCTGATCGTCCACTGGGTGTCCAAGGCTGTAAACTGTAAGGACAAGGCATTGCCTCATCTTTGTTCTGCTGAGCCTGTGATGAATTTGAACCACTGACCTTTTGCTTAGCAGCCCAACATATAATGCATTATGTCACTGGGAATCCTTACAGATACTTTCATCAACTAGTAAGTAACCTGTGCTGGAGGAACTCATCTTCTGTCCAGTTTCTCCAGCTCACGATACTGAACTCTATATTGTGTTGCCAACAGGTTGTTCTGAGTAGTGTATATGCCCCTCGAGTTGCCATGGAGTGTCTATAACAGAAATGTGTTTAGACAAGTCCAATTCTTATGTCAGTAAGAGATTAAAACAATTGCAAAAGGAACAATTTTAGTATCAGTCTCTTTATCAAATAAGGACATTTCTGTTCTATCTTGTTTTGCTTTTGCTCCTTCTGATTCAGCCTTTCAGTGGCTTCGTCAGTGATGCAGAGGGCAAATAGAAGCATCTGGTAGTGAACTGCAGACAGAGAGCAGAGTATTAGTGCAGGACCTTGGGGTTATCAGGCATCCGCTAGAGTCTTCAATTCTTGCGATCGTTGTTGTATGAAATAGAACGAGCATTCTAACATTAAGCCATGGCTCCAAATCATTTCTATATTGATTGGTGTGAAAATGCAGAAGATAAGCCAGGCCATTTCCTCTACTTAATTGGGAGATTGTGGCTTCATTACCTATAGAATGAAAAGGAAAGGAAAAAAAACAGCAGAATAGATAGTTGAATAAATAGTGTCTTCAAGAGAATTGTTAGGACATTGGGGTAATTTGAACATATGATAAAAACAAAATTGTAATTGATCTGGGGGAAGAGAAATTCTGTCACTAGATTCCTTAATCACATTGAGCTTTTCCCAGGGAAGGAAGACTCCAGATTTGGGTGAAGGAAAGTAGATTTCTTTGCTACCTTTCAAAATCACAACTTCTGCTTCCACATTATTTAGTGATGGGATTTGTGAATGTTAGTAGTCTCTCTGTTTGAGCAATGTCAGATTTGAAAGAACTGAAGAGAAAAAGTATAAAGTATGTTTAATAATGCATAGAGTACTTCAAGGCCATTTTGTGAAATTGTTTCATAAGAGAAATTTACTATTCCATTTGGAACTATCAAGAACACACACTTTGGATAGAATGTTGTTTTATGATATGTCAATACTTACATTATGTCTACTGTGTCAGAGCAAAGGTCAGCAGTTCATACTTACTGTGTAATATCTGGTTAGTGTGTTTAGAGGATCAACAGCTAAAATGAAGTTTTTATTTGACAATTGAGGCAGTGACTATTACAGTGGGCTTGAACAGCAGAAATTATAAGGATGGTGCAGGACCGGTCAGCGTTTCACTCTGTATAAAGGGTCACTATGATTCTGCTCCACCTTGACAACACCTAAAACAACTACTATAGGAAAATAATTGAGTTAGGAACACATTCAGAAGATTAACCTTTTTTGAGACTTAAGTTTTTATATTAAACATGTCTAAGGGAAAAAACATCTCACCACTGGACCAATTGGTAGTACCAGGATGGATGGCGAAGAGATTGAGATTGTTCACAGCTTCAGTTTGCTCAGCTCCACAGTCAACACTCTTGGCACCAGCAGTCAGGAAATAAACGATTTGCGATGGGAAAGTCTGCTGTTAGGGACCTCTCTAAAGTACTCAAGAGCAACGGTGTCTCTTTGGAGACAAAGGTGCGCCTGGTACAGGCCATGGTCTTTGCAATCACTTGTTATGCATCAGAGAGCTGGACAATGACTAGGGAGGACAGAAGGAGAATTGACGCCTTTGAGCTGTGGTGCTGGAGAAGAGTATTGAATGTACCATGGACTGCCGAGAAAACAAACATATTCATCCTAGAGAGGGTTAAACCAGGCTTCTCCTTGGAGACAAAGACTCTGGGGCTTCGTCTGACATACTTTGGACATGTTGCAAGGAGAGACAGGTCTTTGGAGGTGGATTGATTCAATGACTGGGGTAATCGGGATGGGTGTGTCAGAGGCAATGAGATTGGCACAGGATAGAGCAGGGTTTAGGGCTGTTGTACATAGGGTCACTATGAGTCGCAAACGACTCAATGGCACATGACAACAACAAGGGAGAAAACAGGACATTGAGACACAGGACCGCGAGTGTCTTTCTGAAGGCCAGCAGGGTCAGAACAGCACAGTCCTCACCATCCCAGAGCAGAAAGTAGATAAAGAGCCTGGAACCCACCCCCATGGTGCCTCTGAAGCCGCAGCAGCAGTTGTTGTTATGTGCCCTCAAGTCACTTGCGATTCATAGTGGCCCTATTTACAAGAGCCCTAAACGCTGCTCTATCCTGTGCCAACCTCGCTGTCTCTGGCACACTCACTCCCACCACCCCAATCACAGAATCAATCCATCTCATCGAGGGTCTTTCTTTCCTGCACCGTCCCTCTACTCTGCCAAACATGATGTTCCTTTCCAAGGACCAGGCCCTCCTTGCAACATGCCCAAAGTATGTCACATGAAGCTTCAGAATCCTTGACTCCAAGGAGCATTCTGGCTTCACCCTCTCCAGGACAAACCTGTTTGTTCTCCTAGCAGTCCATGGTATATTCAACACTCTTCTCCAGCACCACAGCTCAAAGGCATCAATTCTCTTTCTATGATCCCTATTCACTATCCAACTCTCTGATGCATAGCATGTAATTGCAAAGACTATAGCCCGGATCAGGTGCACCTTAGTCTCTAGCTTGATGTCGTTGTTCTTCAGTAGTCTTGAGAGGTCCCTGGCAGCTGACTATGTACAGCAGCAGTAAGAGATTCATTTATTCTTTGCTGACTCACAGACTCTCAGTTATGGTACCAACAATGTGATTTATTAGGGAAGGAAGTTAAGGAGTGGAGGAGGCAAAGAATACCTATGCAAATTCAAGTTTTAGTCCAACAGTCCCCAGGTACAAGTCCTCAATTAGTTACGGCTTCTGTTTCAGTTCAGCAGACAAATCCAAATCATCCAGCAAGGTTTGCCTCCAAGCAAACAAGCATCCAGCCAGTTGTCAGTCTATTTCTCCCTCAAGCCTCCAGTAAGAAGAGCAAACACCTTTAACTGTGACCTTTATCTCTGGGCTCCTCTGTTTACGCCTTTTCACAGTTTCTCCACAACAATGCCACAGTCTCTCCACCACCATCATCAGAGTCTCACCAGCAGGATCTACTCCAGTCTCCCTCAAGTCTTACCATCAAATATCTTGCTTGCCTCAAGTTTTGCTTCTCAATGTGGGAAGCACTTTATCTCTTAACATAGTCCCACAGCTGTTGCTGATTCAAGACCATGCTGATTTACAAGACCACGTATATGCAGTTAAGGTAGCTGGAGAAAGGAGGATGCTAACTTTAATGGCTAAAAAAAAGAAAAAAGAAGCCAACTTATAGTCTAACACCACAAATATAATGTTTGATTATCTTAAATACCTGTCTTTTAAAAAATTTTAATGTCATATAGTTTAGCCCAGGTTACCATAAAATAGAGTTTTATTTTGAGTGGGTTAATTTTAAAATATTTTAAGTACTAAGAACCATACTGAATGACAAACTTTTATTTTCTGATTCTTTTTCTTTTTTAAGACTGTGTGACATCATCCTATATCCCTGTCAAGCCTTTCAATGTGATGGCTGACCCAGAACCCACAGTGGAAGTGGAAGAATTTGTTTATGACACAGCCAAGTTTTGTCGTCCTTACAGAGTATACAAAAATCAAATTTATATTTACCCCAGACACCTCAAGTATGATGGCCAGAAATGCTTCAACAAGGTATGATGCAAGTTTCTGAGATCATATGTTATATACTGTTGAGTCAGAACCCACTTAATTGCTGTTCCTTAAGCGGGTTTTCAGAGGCAGTAAATCCATAGGAGGAGACTGCCCATCTTTGTCTCACGAAGCAGCTGCAGGGTTCGAACTGTGTGCTTTTGGGTTAGCAGATCAACTACTCACTGCTCAGCTACCAGAGCTCTCTCAGGAGATGAGAGTTTTTCCTATATATTTTTCTATTGTGAATTGAATAAAATTCTTATAAATAATAGTGGGTTTTCATTAACTAATTTGTACACATTTTGTTTTATACCATTAACTACAATTCCTACGATGTCTGTCAGACATCATCCACTTTACTTGCCTAAATAAGTGTCTGCTAATTATTCATTTTCACTCTCCTATCTCTTCTTTTCTATCCCTGATAAGATAGGATCACATACCCTGATGGAATAGCCATCTGAGTGTAAACTTTTATTTAGCTTTTTATAGAAGTGGTGTAATGCAGTATTTGTCCTTCTGTGACTGGCACACATCATTCAGCATAATATCCTCTACATTCATCAAGGTTATACCAAATACCACAAATTCTTTCTTGTTTTCAGTGGTGCATAGTACTCCGTTGTACAAACGTACCATAGTTTTTCTTCATTTTTCTCTTGATAAATGGTTGAGTTGTTTCCATCTCATTACTATTGTAAATCATGCCGCAGTGAATATGAGAGTACTATATATACCTGTTTGTGTCACAAGGTAAGATGAGATTTTGAAAGTGAAAACGCAAATGACTATACACTCACACTTTAGAAAAGATTTGTAAAGCCCAGCATTTCCTAAGGCTCAGCGAGGGCTTTCACTTCAGACATGATTGAGGATGCATAGTTTTATAGCACATTAATATTCTTTTCTGAAACCAGCCCTAAATATTTTTTTGTTCTAGACAACCTTATTCAGCTGCTAAACATACTCTGAAAATAGCATGCTTGTCCCTATCATAATGAGAACTTTTTCTTCTTTTAAAAATATATTCTTCCCAGATCTTTCTGCTATTTCTGAACACTATAGATAATGTCACAAGAAAATGTCGGGCATTCTTTTCACAGTTAACTGGATGCTATTTATTTTAGGCAGACTTATCTTTTTCTCTTTCTTTTTTTAAACTTTATTATTTCATAGAAAATTGCAGGCCTCATTTCCCCCATTGCAATTTCAGGCACGAAATATAACTGTGTGTGTCGAGTTCAAAAACTCCGATGAAGAGGGGGCCAGTCCCGTGAAGGTGAGTCAGGCCAACTGGACCTACCAGAGGCCTCTAGGCCTGTCCGCTATTGAGGGCCTTTCATTTCTGCTCAAAACTCACTCAGTGCTGACAAGTCAGAACCAGCTCATAGCCAACCTTCGAGTAGGTTTTTAGAGGCTGTAAATCGCGCAAAAGGAGATTTCCCATTTTTCTCCCATGAGTGATTCAAACTACCTGAGAGGGACTCTGGCTACATCAAGCTCGTAGTGCAACACCCAGTGGTCTGTGCCGCCAGAGCTTAGAAGAGGAACAGATCCATCCTGCTTCCCAATTCAACAGTTCTGATTTCCAAAGTCTCATCCCCGCTGCCTTCCGGTGGGCCTTGCAGAAGGGCTGTGGCTCTGTGGTCCTGTGGGATAGTCACATTTAGGGAAAGTGTCAGCGCTCACTTCCAGAGGAGCTACTGGCCTGGCCTGGGAAGTCAGCTCAGTTGTTGATCACATAATTGAATAAGATCTATGGAACGCTGAGGGGTCCATAAACTCTACTGTTTCTTCAGTAGACATCACAATCAGTAAAGTAAAGTCACTGGCTAGGAGATTGTCACTTGGCTGCAAGAATTGCTGAATAACTGTGGCACCAGGGATCCTTCTTATGCAGGAGAGTTATTGTTGTTGTTGTTGTTTGTCATCAAGTTAGAACCAACCCATTTATGGCTTTCGAGCGGGTGTTCAAAGGCAGTAAATCATACAGGAGACTGGCCATCTTTCTCCTACAGAACAGCTGGTGGGTGTGAGCCAGCTTCTTCCTGATGGGACTGTTTGTTGTTGTTGCTTGATGCCGTTGAGTCGTAGACGACTCATAGTGACCCTATGAATGAACAGCCTGAGCACTGTTCGTACATAGAGTTTCCGGAAGCAAGCCATTTCGGAAGTGGATGCCGCTCCTGCTTCCAGGCTTGATTTAGTCGGGAAGCTCCAGCCAACACTGTCCACCGTGGGTGCCCATTACCACGATTGGCACATCACTGTCACAGGCTTCAGCATCACAGCAACCACGAGTTACTGCTGTACAGCAACGCACAGACCAGTGCTATACCACCTAGAAGAATGTTTGACAGGAAGACAATTTGAACCTGGCCGAGGGCCACAGATGACAGTCACCCACCTTCGGCTTGGTAGCACAGCTTCCTTCCACTAGGCCAACGTAGCTCTCTCTTGGTCGTCGTCATTGTTATTGTTGTTTAATGCCGTCGAGTCGTAGACGACTCATAGCGACCCTATGAATGAACAGCCTGAGCATTGTTCGTACATAGAGTTTCCGGAGGCAAGCCATTTCGGAAGTGGACGCCGCTCCTGCTTCCAGGCTTGGTTTAGTAGGGAAGCTCCAGCCAACACTGTCCACCATGGGTGCCCATTACCACGTTTGGCACATCACTGTCACAGTCTTCAGCATCACAGCAACCACGACCTGATAGGACTAGGGAGCTCAAAATTAATTCTGTATATGCTCAGCCTGACATGTTAGCACTAAATAGAACTTACCCCAGGCTTGGTGACTGAGTATTTGTGACTTCTTTTTTTTTATGCTCCATTAAAATAAGACACTCATATGTGCAATTTGTAACTTTTTCAAAACAGTGTATTTATGGCAAACCTGGAGGGCCTCTCTTCACCTCGGCAGCCTACACTGCGGTTCTACACCATTCCCAGAACCCGGATTTCTCAGACGAGGTAAGAAAGGACCAGGCACCCACTGCCACCTTACACAGTGGAAGGGAGGGTCCAAACAGAGGACATGCTTTGACAGATGTTTCCTTAGACAAGATGAACTATGTTCTTCCTGAATAATCACTTCTGGATTATGTTGCAACTTTGTGTACTTCAACCAATGTTGTTGTTGTTATGTGTCCTTGAGTCTCCTGAAACCCTAGGCCCAACCCTGTCCTATCCTGAGCCAATCTCATGAACCTTTTATTAGATTGGTATTTCGGTTCTTTTTCTAGTGAGATTCATTTTTGTTTCTGTTTACTAGTCAGTATAAGAAAGCTGTGTTTTCGAACTTTATCAGTTCATGGAAGCATTTTACACCATCGTAAGAACCATTAACATTTGTACCATAACCACTGGTTAAGACTGCAATGAACTTGCGTGCCCCTGGATCCCTCAACTAAATGGACTTGGGAGCAAGAACTGTCATGGCTAACTCCCTCTACCATCTCCTTGATCTCCAGGCCCCCTACGTACATAAATGATCTATAAACTGAAGATAACAAGATGTGCAGTCACTTTCATTGGGCACATCATCAAAAAATGTCAATTACTAGATTCCCATGAGATAATGTTTTGGGGGCTTAATTTGTATTTTTAAAACAAAAAAAAATTGCTCATGTTATATACCTCCTATCTAGAGCTAATTTTCTTCATTTGTGCTCATTTATCATCCCTGATTGCAGGTGAAAATTGAGCTGCCAACACAACTCCATGAGAAGCACCACATTCTGTTTTCTTTTTACCATGTCACCTGTGACATAAATGCAAAAGCAAATGCCAAGAAGAAGGAGGCTCTGGAAACCTCAGGTACCAGCGGAGGGTAGGGGGGTGGGCGGGAGGGGGGAACCTCAGATACCGGAGGGGAGGGAAACCTCGGGTACCGGCGGGGAGGGAAACCTCGGGTACCGGCAGGGAGGGAAACCTCGGGTGCCGGCGGGGCGGGTATCGGTGGGGAGCTGACTGACTCAGCGGCCTGACCTCTCCCCAGTGCGCCTGCAGTTGGAGAGGGTTTTATTTTTTTTTATTATTATTATTAAATTTTATTAGTTTCAATGAACATTCACAGGGATTCTGGGCTTTCACTCCCCCGTTGCCGCACCACTCTCTCCACCCTCCTCCCCAGTTTGTTGTTCTTCCCAGCCATCCGAATGTCTGTTTTAATTGTCCAATTGCCACAGTGCTTGTCAAAGCCAGTTCTGATTAATCTCCTTTGTCGGTGTGTCCTTTGCCATTCCCTATCACTCCTCCCTGAGAGAGACTTCACCCTGAGTCATAAGGAAAAGGGGATGGCGTATTCTCTTAGCTACTTCCTGCTGAAAAGGGACGCTGTGGGTTTCAGGGTGAAGATCTTCTCTCACTACTCTAAAGGGCCCCTTTGGCAGTAGGAAACACATAGACTATTATGGAGATTGATTTTGGAATTTAGATGCACTCTTATTGATTGTGCTTGGCCGTACATGTTCATATCCTTGAAGATGTATCATGGGGGTGTTGCAACCTAGAAGACACAAATTTGACTAACAAGTTATAAGTACATGAGTCAAAAATTATGGAAAAGTAAAAGAAAAGATTCTTTCATTGTTTTACAAACCCTCCCCCAGGTCCCCTCCACCATGTAGCCCTCACTCTAGACTCCTGTGATGACAGAAATACCTAGTTATATATCTCTTTTAAACAGTTTTCTCCCTCCTCTGTTTCAGTGCAGTATACATTATTGAACCCATCTTACTCAGTCTCTCCCCAACCCCATAATTTATATAATTATGGAGAGGGTTTTAAATGCTCTTGTTTACTGAATATTTGGGGGAAGTTTAGTCTTCATAAGTGATGGAGAGCTTTTCCTTTTGCTCCTTTTCATGAAGTCTGGGCATCAGAAGTTTCCTCTTTACTTTTCCATTTACAGTTGGATACGCTTGGCTTCCTCTGAAGAAGCACAATCACATTGCATCTCAAGAGTATAACATCCCAGTAGCAACGAGTCTGCCTCCCAACTATCTGAGCTTTCAAGATCCAGCCAGTGGAAAGGTGTGGAGTAATGTGTAACTTAAGGAAAAAAATATACATCGATTAAATGGTGTAAGATTGGACCATAGTTAAAGGCTTAGCTGCTAATCACAGGGTAGGCAGTTCAAAGCCAACTAGCAAAGACTCTAGACAAAAAGACCCTAGCAAACTACTCTCCAGTCATTGCTCTGGTTGTTCTGCGCTGTTGAGTCGGGACCAACCCATAGCTTATCCTCCAGTGGATTTTCCGGAAGCAGTAAATTGCACCGGAAGAGACTGCCCAGCTTTCTCCCCCAGAGCAGCTGGTGGATTTGAACAGCATGTCTTTGGGTTGCCAGCTCAACTCCTTACCTCTAAGCCACCAGAGCTCCCTCAAAAAGATCACAACCTAGGAAATAACATTTCCGATCATCACATGGGGTTGGCATTAGGTGAAACGAACCCCGCTACCTCTAACAACAAATGTCATGAGGCAATGTTCTGTTTCCTGTTAAGGAGCTCTGAGGTCCTCATCCAGAGAGAGCTGCTCTCAGACTCAAGGGCCACACGCACCTCTCTTATTCCTCGGATCCACCAGCAGCTCCACAGGAAAAAGACGGACAGTGTCTTCTCATGCACTTTACAGCTCAGAAACCTAGTGGAGGGTCAACTGTGAATCAATTCTAACTCATCAGCAATAAGGGATTTTTATTTGCTTATTTATTTAATACAATGTTTGTAGTCTGGATATACAGTGTAATTATTAATTAAATGTACCAATCATATTCCAAATACTTTATTTAGTGACCTATATAAATGATCCATTAAAAATTACATTGTGATATTGCACTGGTCTTGTACATTAATAATGCCAGATATATTTTATCTTTTATTTTCCCCAATAAGGCAGTATGAAATTAAGCGACTGAGACAAGAAATGAAAAGAAAGCTAATAGCCTATTCATTGTCTTTCTTTCCAGCTGCCATAGTTACACTAACAAGCCCTTTTTCTTTTCAGCAAAATACAAGTGATATTAAATGGGTTGATGGTGGCAAACCACTTTTCAAAGTATCAACATTTGTTGTATCAACAGTGAATACTCAAGTGAGTATTTTACCCTCATAAATTTAGCATCTACATTGAGCATAGTATCAGAAGGTGTGAGTCCCGGGAAAAAGACATTACACTTGGAAAGACAGAGGGTCTGCAAAGGAGAGAGGAAGACCCTCAATGAGATAAGGTGATCCAGTGACTGCATCTGGGGGCAGAGCAGACACTTTGCGGATGATACAGGATCAGGCGGGGTTTCGTACATGGAGCCACTAGGAGCTGAAGTTGGCATGATGGTACTTACCGACCACCGTCGCCATCAGCGTCCTTTCTCGCACAGTCATAACGTGTTTCCTATGTTACATGACGGAACTAACCCCTCAGTGGAGTAGCAGGCAAGTGTGTGATTGAACGCCAGGGTGTGTGGCCAAGAAGAAAAAGAAAACAGAGAGGAATTAAGCCAGAAAGTGAGCTTAGTACTTTGAGTTGGATCTTTTTTATGTCTCAACATCTAACGAAAAGGAAGATTTGGCCACCCACCTCTCCTCTCAATGATTATTTGTAAGACAGTTTATCTATCATTAGAAACAAATAATAAATTCTTTTTTGTTGTTGTTTTAGGATCCACATGTGAATACATTTTTTAGGCAGTGCCAAAAAAGAGAGAAAGATATGTCTCAATCACCTACCTCGAATTTCATACGCTCTTGCAAGGTAATAATATGACATAGAAGTCATTTTTTGTGCTTTCTGGTATAGAAATGAGCAGAAAAAGGAGCTTACTTTTTTTCATTGACTAGTAAACCAAAAGGGAGCTCTGGTGGCCTCAAAGTTAAGAAACTGTGCTGCAACCCCAAAAGCACACAGTTCAAATCCACCAGCAGCTCCATGAGGAAAAGATGCTTAGTCTCCTCCTGAGAGATTTACTCCTCTAAAAACCTGCATGAGTCAGTTCTTATTTAATTCACTGCCTCTAAAACCCTGCAGGAGTCAGTTCTTCTACAACATACATAACAAAAGCAACAGTAAACCAGAAGGTAATGATTAGGAATCTAAGATGCCTTGCTGATTTAAAAAGGAAACTATGTCTAGAATCCTGTAATGGTTCCTGATGGTGACAAAAATCAAAGACCAGTTTTCATGAAAGTGAAATGAAGTCATTTTTTTTCATTAGTCAATTAAATGGAGAGTCCTTGCAAAATAACTGAGGTGCCTCTGCGCCATCGTAAATGTTATGGAGAATAAAGCTGGATAAAGGCCAGTTACTGTGTGCCTGCCCTGGAATAGTTGGAACAGTTGCAGTACATACTATTAGCATACAAAGTTGCTAACAAGAAGATTGGTGGTTCAAGTCTATCCACATGTTCTTCAGAAGAAAAGTGTGCCAATCTATTTTTTACAGATCAGCACCTTTCTACTCTGACACATATGGTGTCATCAGGGGTCAAAATTATTATTATGGCAAGTCTTTGGGGTTTGTTTGTTTTGTTGTTTTTTTTTTACAGTATTCCTATTAAGTAAGTTCTGAACAAATACCAGCAGAACAGGCTTTAGTTTTAACCAGTGTTCTTTCCCTCCCCCTACCCCCCCCCCCGGCCAATTTTCTATAGAACTTACTGAATGTGGAAAAGATTCATGCAATCATGAGTTTTCTGCCTATAATCTTGAATCAGCTCTTCAAGGTCCTGGTGCAGAATGATGAAGATGAAATAAGTACACCGGTAACCAGGTAGCCATAAATAAAACTCTATAAAAAAGGAGTTTATAATCTCTGCACCTTGATCATAACTGAACGAAATTCTAGTGGTGTATATGTGCATTTCATTTTAATGTATGTCTTAAATTTAGGTATTTCTTCACTCTTCAATCCTTACCTTCTAATCAGCTATTATTCTCATTGAAGTTTATGGCCTCACTTTTGCTTACTCCTTCGTTTGTTTTTAATTAAACTTTTTTAAAATCTTGAGATAATTGCAGATTCACGTGCAATTGTAAGAAATAATACAGAAATTGTTTTCTTTATCCACTTGACTCTATCTAATGCTAACATCTTGCACAAACATGACACAATAGTACAACCGCATTATTGACATTGATACAATCACTGTAGGGAATATTTTCATCATCACATGGATGCCTTTGTTGCCCTTTCCTAACCTCACCACTTCTCTCAGTGTTCCACTTCCTTTCCCATCCATTCCCTCTCAAACCCCAAATGACTACTCATCTGCTCTCGTCAATCAGTTTATTTAAAAATGTTGTTGCAATAGAATAATATCACGTAGTCTTTTGACATTGGCTTTTTTCCCTTCAGCATAACTCTCTGGTGATCCATCCAGGCTATTGTGGAAATCAATCATCACTTCTTTTTTTACTGTGGGCAGTGATGCATGGTATGACTGAACCATACTTGGTTTTACCATTTACCTACTGAAGGATTTCACCATTCACCTATTGAAGGACCTGTAGCCTTTGGCTATCATAGAAATTAATATGCACGTGTGTATCCAGGTTTACGAAGAATCATACATTTTCATGTCTCTGGACTGGATGCCCACGAGCGCAATTCCTGGTTCAGACAGAAGTCACATGCTGAGCTTTTTTTAAAAAACTGCTTACAGCAGGGGGAGCTCTGGTGGCCTAGTGGCAAGAAGCTGCACTGCAATCCCAGAGGAACACGGTTCGAATCCACTGTTGGCGGCTGAATTCCTTTCTATTGGAAGAGTGGTGTTTGTCTTCTTTTTGTTTTTTTCCCCATCGTGAGAATTGATGAATAATTATGGATTTAAGAAACTCATGGAGTAAAAATTTACCACATTTTAAAAAAAAAAACTGCTTACACTATTTTCCCAAGTGGTTACACTGCCTCTAGACTTCGTTTTACTGTACAAAAATGTTAACTGCTTTCATTTTAAATTTGGTCATATGTACCATATGCTTCTGAAATTATAAAGCTGGCTGGTGACTTTGGAAAACAAAGTTTCCTCTTCACAGAGATAGTGCTCCTCATCAATTATTAAATCCTATATCCCACATTACAAACGATTAGTCACAGCATTCTGGGAAAAAATAAAAAACATCGCTCCTACCATTGAAGGGTGCTAGCCACAGACATATTAGTCTCTTTTTTGGGAATCAGGTTTTTAAGCTAGTTTTTAAAGCCATGCTTCTGATGATCTAGAACACAAGAATGTCTAAAGCCCTCACCACCAGTCAATTTTGGACCCAGGTTAAAAGTCTCCAGCTGTGTTTTCAACTGATGTTCTTTCTGGTATGAACATATGTGTCTGCACTGGCCAGACACCCAAGAATGTCAGCAGATAGTTGTGTTGAAACTGAGATAGAATTAAGGACTCCGGTCAGAGAGCATCCAGAATTGTCAGTGTAGGGGAAAGGCAATACACAATAGTGGCTGAGCAGCACAGTATCACCAAAGCAAGGGAAGACACAGAGGTATGAATGGGAATCACAGTCATTTCACTGTGGATTTAGATATTCATGTTCTAGAACAAAATCTGTACAAATTGTTGAATGAATTCATTTGCTTTATAGCTTTCATTCAAACTATTATGTTAAAGAGGTAAAAAATAAACTTATACCACACTGCTACTAGAAAACGAAAGAGAACACATTTTAATCTTTTTCCTCTTCCTGAAAGCAGATGCATGTAGTCTCAATGGTGGGAGATCAGTCCCTTTAAAGTGGAATATGATAATAAATTAGAGGTAAAGACCCTTAAGTTCCAATCTGGTCCTAAAACTGATCCTTTTTTCTAAGAGACTGTGCCAGCAAAACCACAGACCATAGTCAGCACTTGAAGCTCACACAGAGAGTTAGTTTAAAATGTGTTACTGACACAGGACATTACTTATCTTTTAGTATAAGTTATATTTATTTATATTTTTATTAAAGAGTTTCTAGGTTTAACCAGATAATAGGGATTGTAAGTATCGAATACTGCTGTGAGTATGAGGTTTGAAATTGATGGATTGTTTGACTAGTTCAGTGCCCAGCACCCTGAAGTGGCACTAGGACACTGAAGCATTCTGTTTTCCCAGGGTGCTCACCGACATTGTGGCCAAGTGCCACGAAGAGCAGCTGGACCACTCCGTCCAGTCGTACATAAAGGTAGGGAAGAGCCCCTTGGACCTTGGCCATCTGCCCGTGTGCTCTGTGGCTTGTCTCGTCTCCTGTCTTAAGTGAGAGTTTCTCCCTTAGCTTGATGGTACCCACTGCAGCAATGCTAAACATTCACCTTAAAAAATAAAAAAAAGGTACCTTCAAGTTACCGCTGAGGCTTAGTGATTATGGTGACCCCACCTGAGAGCATAGAAGTGCTCTTTGAGCCTTTTAGCTGTAGAGTTTGTGGAAGCAGGTGATGAGACCTTTATTTCCTGTGCCCCTTCATTGGGATCAAACCATTGACCTTTAGGTTAGTGGTTGAATGTGCATTACTTGCAACACTCAGAACTCTTAATCCATTTGTTGTTGTTTTTGTTGTTGCTGTTGTTGTTGTCTGGTGCCCTTAAGTTGACCGTGATTCGTAGTGATACAACGAAACTCTGTCTGACCTGCTCCATGCACAGCCTCTGCTGGGCTCAAAGCCCGCTGTTTCAGTCCCAATTCCATCTCTGCATTAATTGACAGGTTGTACTGCTTAAATAATGTACCCTTATGGTGGAAACATGTAAATGGTGATTATGTTGGGGGAGGAGAGACAAGAAGACAGAAGAAAACCAGGATTTTGCTTTTGAAGTCCACTTGAAAGCAAATGAAATCCCTGTGTGAAATGAAGGAAGATTTTTTTCTTGTCGGTTTGTTGAATGCTCTGTGTTTCTCCTGTAACGTTTTCTTAGCTCTCTTTATTGTTTTCTCAGGCATTCTTTCATTTTCCCAGTTACTGTATATTTGTACCTGCCTCTGGTATGTTAAGCCCTTTACCTTCTGGCATGAACCACTTGTCCATCCATCCCATCAGCGTGCACTGCTTCTTCCAGTGTCCAGTGCTCCCCCAGACATGGTCCTGTCCTCATTGCCAGTTGGCCTCTGAATTAGTGTCAGTGAACTTGGGATGATGTTGGTCCACTCCTAGTTTTTCTACCAAAAGGTCATCCTGAATGCAAAGGCAAAAGCTAACTTGAGATAAATACTCCAAACCTCATGCCCTTGAGCGAGCTCCAGCTCCTAGAGCCCGTCTGTTTGGTTTCTGAGGCAGTAAAGTTACCATGAGAAGAGACTGGTCAGAGGACAGCACGTAGACTCAAGCTGTCATGGCGGCACTGCCTTGAGGTCAGCAGCACAGCCCTGAGCACCTGTCCCCAGGCGCCCCTCAGCTCCTTGTTCACACATGAGCGACAGTTCAGTTCCCTTCGAGTCCGTTCTGATTGACGGCATCCCAGTGTGCCGAAGCCGAACTGTGCTCCATAGTGTGTGTCAAGGCAGAATTCCCCACGTGGATGACCAGGTCTTGCCTTGGAAGCACTTTTGGGTAAACTCAAACTTCCAACCTTTCCGTTATTAGCCAAGCAGCTTGGTCATTTCCGTAACCCAGGAGATCTAGTCTATATATTAGAATAGGTAGAGAAGCTCACCTTTAATTTCCTGTGCACAGACTGTAGGAGAAAGATGGGCAGACCCTGCCCCTGTGATTCACAGCCTCTGAAAACCCACTGGAGGGTCAGATGTGAGTTAGTTCCAACTTGACAGCGCAGAACAACAACAACAACAACAACGCGCATACACTAAGTTTTATTGAGGCAAAGGCCATTAAACTTAAGAAAGATGACTTTTATTCTAGATGTCTAGAAAGGTGACTAGATAAGAATTTGAATCATGCATCCTAAAAATCGGTCACAAGTGTCTAGTGTTTTTTGCATTTAGAAATAAAGTCCCTCACACCCCCACCACAACAGTTTTGTTTCTGTGTCTTTTTCTACCTGGGAAAAACTGTTAAGTGCCAAGTACTTGTGTCCTTCTTTCAGTTACTTCCAACCAGCCAGGGCAACACAGTGGAGGGTCATTGTGGGTTAAAGACTTTACAGATATGATTTGTTTATCAGGTGCAGAAAGCCAGTTGCACCTCCAAATAACCTTCTTGCTTTTTTATCTACTTAAGATCGGATCATGGCCTACCTTGTTAGGATATTGATGAGCTTCCCTAACTCAATGCTGGCAATTCCATAAGACCAAGCAGAACTGTCCCATGGAATCCCTGGAGAACTCGGGTCCTCTCGAGTTTGCACTGCTTTTTCCGTTTCGGGCTTCTTAGGTGACTGAGGAGAAACCAAAACAAACAAAAATCGCCTCACCTAGCCCTCTTATCCTCTGTCGTCTCCATGTCTGCAAATGTATTATTGACTCTTCCATTGGAGTACAGAAAATTATATTAGTACTCCTCTGGTACTGGAGCTATTTTTATGACAGCCAAGCCGAGATCCTTACTTGCATCAGCTCTCAGACTCTGCTCTGTCATGTTCATAGAGAGGTATGTTGGTCGTGCAACATGCAGTCCCCTTTCTTTTTAACCAGACGCTCTAAAACATCCTAACCAGGCCAATTAATTAATAAAAAAAAGAAAAGAAGGAAGAAAATGTGCAACAATGAATAAAAATTTTTAAAAAACATCAAGCCCATAAAGTACATGTACAAAACACAATGTATATAGTTTTATGTGGGCCATTTAATTTTTAAATGCACTATAAACCTAACCCATTGCCAGCAGTCCTATAAGACAGAGTAGAACTACCCACAGACTTTCCAAGACTATAAATGTTTATAAAAGTAGACTGCCTTATCTTTCTCCCATAGGACAGCTGGTAGATTTGAACTGTTGACTTTTTGGTGAATTACCCAACTTTTAAACCATCATGTCACAAAGGGTTACTTAAAAAAAAAAGATGATAGATAGATAGATAGCAGAACCAACCCATAGTTGACCCTCCAGAGGGTTTTCAAAGGCAGAAAAGCACATGGAAAGAGATCCTCCATCTTTCTCCCATGGAGCCTCTGGTGGATTTGAACCACATGCCTCTGTGATTGCAGTGCCACTTCATATTACTAGATATAGATAGATAAATAGATAGATA